CCTCCACCCTTCCCCATCCTACTAGCGCCCACGCCTTATCTAAAACTGAAACGAGATGGTAAACAATGGTAATGAGTTGTACCTAGTAAAGGATAGTGATAATGTAGCGCCAACTCATTTCTGTCTGAAGTTGAAGTGATATGACGTGAAGAAACCTATCCAGGTATTGGTTCATGTGATTTGCTCCATCCCTATCACCATGTTGTTAGGGTAAAGGGTGTGACATGGGCCAAAAGTTCGACTATCGAAGGTACTCGTTATGAACCTCAACTATAATGTAGTTAGATGGCTCCTGGAACCTTTTCCTTTTTATTGGGTAAATCAGAGCTTACCAACAGCGTAGGTGAGTGACTAAGTAACCAATTCTGGAAGAAATAGTGAGTTCTATGAGTTTTGGTCTTTGTGGCTGTAAAACTGAAATAAATTGAGCAGTGTGCTTTCCGTAAGTGAAATGTTTAGGGTGTCTTCGATATGTTATCGTATCGAGTTAACGGATGATATCTATCTGATGGCATCGGGCGATTGTCGGCCGATATGCTGGTTGACTGAATCACGTGGTTGTCTCAGATGTTTATATGTTAATTAGAGGGATGGCAAGTAGATGTTTAGAATAGGGAAAAGGTCGATAAACATGACAGGTGTGAATAAAGACAGCAGGAGAGTGCAGGAGGGAATGTAGCTTGTCGCATGTGTGTGATATTCGAGGTGGAGCAGGCAAAGTTCTTTGGAGAATGACACCACACGACAATATCGTCACCGGAAAAAGCGAAAACATCTGTTTGAAAATGAGCTGGTTACGGTAAGGTATGGATAGGATTAACAATAGGAGCCGGCTGTGAAAAGAAATGAGGAAAGATCAGGATTGCCGGTTAGCATTGAGTCCGAGAATTTCAAGCTGTAGGACGCTGGATGTCCACAGAGTTCAAGGATCATGCGGGTTTCTTCAGGCACCAGGCTGTAGCCATATGGCCTTTACCAGAATTTCATTGCGGCACACAAACTATCGCTTTTAATGATAGCTGCTGGCCATAAAAAATGATAGAAGTAAAGAAAAGAAACGAAGCTTTGTCAGCGCCGTCTATTAGTACCTATTCCCCAGATTGGAAGCTGATTGATGACTGTCGGGTCCCGGGTGGAACAAAGCCGATAGAGGCTGGAAGTCTTGTTAGGTGGGACTGATTAGATTCGAAGTTGGAGGAGGTCCTGCCCAGGCTCTCTGCTCATTACCTTGATCGACCTCGCCGAGACTCTATCAGGGCTACGACATCATCTGTTTCCCAATTCTAACCCTTTCTTTCATTTACTGATACTCTTACCCCAAGATAAGTTATGATATCGAACTCACCGTCAGTAAGAGAATGGGAAGGGCGATGTAAGCGAGCGTACGGTCGACGAGCTTGACAACTGGAAATGAGCTGTACGTCTGATGTGGCTCGTTTTATACACCGGATGCTGTTGGCAACGCGTTGTATCAGGTCTCAAATGACCGGAAGTCTCGTACTTTGTTAGATTTTGCTCCTTTCCAACTGATAAGTATCACCCATGATAAGGGCCTTTTAAATCATTACATTTAAATTAGCTTGTAAACATGGGTGGGTTTTTAAATCTGTTTTCACACTTCCGAAATATAGGCATGAAGAAGCTATAGCTCCCCAGTGGAAGCTGACCTATGAAGAATATTCGAAGAGTCGAAGACCTCAGTAATATCACCTGCAAAAGGGTAAAGAGGTTGGAAACCCAAACTCTGCAGTCGCGGAGGACCTGTCATGGTTCTACTGAATCTTCCTTGAACAGAACTCATTCAAGAGTTGCTCCAATGCCAAATTGAAAATGAGTGGTTTTTCCTGGTGACGTCTATCCTTCTTTTGAGAAACCGTCACCCATTCGACTTCTGTTTGATTAAACTAACAGTTGAAAAGGTTTAACTCTTGTGAATCGGTTGGGTTCAACGCAACCGATCCACAAGATTATCTTGTCCTAGTGTGTTCGATCGCCTAGACACGCAGGGCTGAACAATTTGCTCGGCGTGGGGAGAATCGGTTCGGGAGTTGATTTTCGATAAATACAGCTTCGGATAGAGCTAGGCTAATTATCTATTGCTTACCACTTTTGCTTTTCAGCCTTCTGCTTATAATCAAACCGTGGATTGTAACGAACTGGTAGCGGCAGGCATTGTCTGGCTATTTTCGTTCTATTTTAGCCTGAATTCAGCGAAAATGTTAAGCCTTTGTACTCTGAGGTACGAGACTATTCAGAGTCACCGTAACCGAAACCTGGTCGGGTTAGCCCGGCGGCTGCAATTGTCGACGCTGTTGCTGACAATCGCTCAAGCGCTGTCAGACGAGGTGTCAGACATGTGTTCACACCGATATGCGAGCCTGCTTTCTGAGTAGGCCGAATTACACCGGCTTGCAGTTGACGTTGTTTGGCTAGTTCTTGTGCTCGTTCAGTTTGTGAAGAAGTTGAAACTCAGGGACTAGAAAAATGAAAACAAAATGAAAAGCTATGAGGAATAGTAGAGTTCGGGCCATACTGCTAAAACTTGAAATGGAAGAGTTGGCCGTCGCTCGTGAGCTCAAAGATCGTTGAACTGATCGCTCAAGAGTATTTTTCATCGAGAAGATTAAGTCAGTAACACTGGTCCAAAGACTGGACCACGGATATGAATTAGAGCACCGTTTTTCAAGAAGAATTGGTCTTCCTACTGGTGTAAACAACTGGTTATTGCGTTAGTGTTATGATAACAGACTATTATGACGAGTGCGATGAAATAGCGGCTGTTCAGTAATATCACCCGCATGATTACCGGTGATGTTATGGCAAGGGATCCTGGTAGATTGCAATAGGGACTGGGTCTGTCCCACAGTAAGATATCCGGTAACTGTTTAGGGAAAATTTCCTTCAACAGGAGATTGATTTGAGGTTTTCGAAAAAGGCTCAAGCAATTTGAAGTCCACTCACAACCTTTAATCAACCGGAGTTGAGGTTGAGAGAGAATATGAAGGTGATGATAATCATCGGAACGTTGTAAAAGAATGACGGTGGTGTGCTGATCGCGGCGGAGAGGTGTTAAACGGTTGTCCTCAGTGTGTATTCGAGGTGTCTGATTTCGGTCGACGATCCGAACGTGTTGTCATTGGGACGTGTGACAGATTTGATCGCATTGCTTACAGCTGAAGGGTATCGATGTCAAGCGTTGTCACGCTGTGCCTTTACGCTGCCTGTTGGCGTAGCTGCTCAAATCGTCATCAGCCCTTGTCACAATAGGGACCGAAACTCGTAACCTGGACTACATCTAGTACTTTTATCGGAATGAAATAATCATAAGAAACTCGTGACAAGATGCCGAGGTTCCTTCTCGAAGTACCGGGCGTAATTGCCTCTCTGAGAGGTTAACAACGTGCTGGGACGTCACCGTTTGGAACGAGGAACTTCTTGGGAGGAGATGAGCACCAACGTATGAAACAACTTGTGAACCACTTACTGTTCTCGGATGGAGAATGATGCCTTCCAGGATTTGTTCATCGAGACTGTTATTCGAAAGGCTACTGGTTACAAATTTGATAAGTGAACGATTTGGATGTCAATAATCAGCCTCAGAAGGATGTCCGAGTGGCAGAAGGCTAAGCTTATCAGACATGAGCATGATGTTAGAAAAACCTAACTGAAACAGTCTCATTGCTATTAAAGATTGAAGAAACATTGCTAGAATCTGTTCGTCAAATGTTTACTTTAAGATATAAATGAAAAAGTAAGTGAACTGAGAAATCGATTAGCATTCAGTTAAAATAAGATGAGTTTGGAACGTGATAAGTGTTGTTGGACAGCTTCCAGATCTAGATAAACGTAGCTGAGATATGGTCGCATCAGCTGTTGCCTGCCGGTCCACTCATTAATACGACGTTGACCCGTGGTTGACACTTGCTGGCCGATTTAGATGACAAGCGGTAATGGACGTATAAAACATTAGCGGAAATAAAGGGTAAACGCTGAGTGGTGTCAAGATGCAGCCGCCAGGGTGTCTGCCTAGGTAAGGAAACGCCCAGAAAAGGGAAAAGACAGCCGGGAAACCCTTTATATTCTGAGTTGTAGATCTACATGTAACTTGGCATTTGATATTCGTAGCCGGTTGGGCGGGTAGGTGAAGGGACTTGGCAACCGGGAATACTTGGATCTCCAGTGGCTGGATTACCCAAGCTCGGAGTTTGGCGCAGGTTGGCATTACCACAAAGCTCAAATGAGATCATCCTACAGTAAGTCACCAAGGAAAAGTACTTTTCTCAAACTGTATGGAATGATCTAAAGTAAAAGCTGGTCCTTATAGTCATACAGAGGCTGTAACAGGAAGGCGTGGAAATCTCTTTCAAGCCCACAAAATTACTAGTAAATAAGTCTGGTTTCGTTGTTGTGCAGCAACTCGGGTATGATTTTCCTCGGACACCCCACCGCTGAACGATCTAAACTGTCTCGCCCACAGTACGCTCGGTTTATTTCCCTGAAGTCATCTTGGCCGTGTTCGAATGAATGTGGGTATTTGTCTGGCTCACATCCACATCTTTCAGGGCGAGAAGATGTGGGATGTCGAGAATGGAGTGCTCTCTTTTGCTGATGTTGGACCCCTATGAAATCCCATAAATGCTGCAAAGCTTCATGTCAAAAAGCCAACAGGCTGGAACATGAGATGCTCGGCTCCGTTCAGCTACGGTAACCGCGAGACGACGTTGGCGTCTCGTCGTCTAGCCCGGTAACTATGTCCGTCCGGTTGATGATGTTCCTACGTTTGTCATAAACGTCCATCTGTGCATAATGCGATCCTTTTGTAGATGTGACACATTGTTGACGTAGGGTAGTTGATGAATGGAATATGACACACAACCCAGGAGCCGGACTCTTTTATGAATGTGCCCGTGTAAAATAAATACCAGCTCTATTACAATTCAACTAGACTAGGGATTCGGGGATTTTTTGCCTCCGTTTACTGCATCATTACAGAAAACTCAATGCCGACCGATACATCACCGAAAAAGTCGGATGGCAATGATCAAGCTGGTCTCAAAGCGTCCATAGTCAAAGCGATATTCAAAGATTTGGTGAGTTCCCCTCACATCGCTTCTATGACGGTTCCCAGAGCTTCTGCCTAGCCTAGCCCTTTTTGAAATACCTCTACTTTCTGGCAAGAATCGATGAACTTTCAGAGTCCGCCAAGGACGCGAGTCGTCGGCAATGCCGTCGACTTGCTCACTGCCACCGGTAGGATTTCATCGCCCAGTAAAAAGTTGGGTGATCTCTCTCTGAGCGAAGGTGATCTGACTCTGACGGAAGACTTCAAGACACCAGTCAGCCTTTCTGTGTCCCAAAGCCAAAGCCACTTTTTTGCCAACGATGACTTCGAAAGCAATCCGGTGATTGAGTCAACAGCAAAAGTAAGTTTCTGTTGTTTTCTGTTGTTTACCAGATGTTGTTTACAGTTTTGACATTTGTATCGCATGTATGCGTTACCGTTGGACCGTATTAACGTTGTGTGACAGTAGACTAGCGGAAATGGTCCACTTAGGCATGAAATGTGGCCAACGGATGGACGTGGCGGACGCGTGCACGTTGGGTGTTAGAACTGATTTATCGACACCGTGACGGCTGTTTACGATCGCTGTTCGGGGCCGAGCTTGCAAAAATCAAACATGTGTCCCAAGGACGGATAGCTAGCCGTTTGGGTGACTTACGAAGTTGTGTAATCAGCAGCCATCTGTGATCGTGTCATTGAGACCAGGTGTGGGTGTGTGCCTGCCTGTCAAGTGATGGAACCTGATAGGTTACTTCAACGTTTGTTAAGCTCTTTGAAGATCGGAGTCGCTAACGTATGATGAGTATAAACAGCCATTTTCACGAAAATAGTTGGCTAAAGAGCGGCGTGCTGGAAAACAGATTTACGTTAGCTCCGGTACGAGTTGACTTTCCCTTTGGTTAGGCTTAGCTTGAACCAAGCTTGAGGTCCCAAGGAGAAACTAGCTCCGAGGGAACTCAAGTACCTCATGGAGATTGAAAGTTAAGAATTTCGACCAGCTTTTGGGAAGAAAACAGTTTTTACTCTTATGAAAGGCGTGATGTTGGAACAGTTGACCATGCTTTGTGTTACCCACTCATATATTGGCCTGGGGTTCTGAAAGACCTCATCCTATGATCCTACTATGTTCAAATGGACAATAATGTTCACAAGCTCCATATCCACCCGGTGGATTCCTCTTTCTCGAGGACCCGCTAAGTGGAGGCTCCTCGTCGCTAAGGACTTCGACTTTCGTCAGTTCAGGGATGGAGGCATACAGTAATCATTGGCATATGAATGTGACTAATTAATTCGTTGTAAAGCTTAACTTGCGGTAATACTGAGAGAATTCCTCAATTGAAATGGTGCATCCGAATTATGGATTGACAAAGGGCAGCAGTGCTATGGCTATTGGTGAATAGTGAGAGAAGTCCAGATTTTTGAGGCAATCTATGCTGCATGCTGTGAAAGAGCGCATCTATAGATGAATACGACGTAGTTAATGGAGATACGGTAAAACCGGTCGAGGAGTTTACTTGTGGAACACACGGAGATTCAGCTGGCGGACTACAGTACGACAAAATGCAGTTGTCGCTGTCGCGCGCGCGTGTACGCGAATGGCGGTGCGTACGATGCGAAACGACGCGGGAGCACTTGGATTGCGGGAAAAACCATCATGCCGGCCGCCAGCCGGATCGACACCACCACCATCCGCATATGATGATTGCTCTCAAAGTGGTACCGACGACTAATGACAGTCATATTATGCACTGCATTGGTCGGGGGATGCAGTGTTCGCTTGGAAAATTGAATTATCCTCAGGATGACTGAGAAGAATGAGAACACTTTGAAGGATTCAGAAAGACTTCGTAGGCAACGAGGATGATGGAGCTGGGATTAGTTCAGAGAAGTGGAAGTGCTGACAAAATACTGAACGGCGAAAACAGAGTCGTATCTCGAAAATGGCAGTTTAGGCAATTAAACGGTGAGTGTCCGGCGACGCTCCGCCTCAGCACGGGGCCCAAAGTGTTTTCGGGATCGCTTCCATTGGTGCGGTACATTAGTAACTGCAATGGACTCATCATTTCGAAAATATGAGAGTCTAATGAAGCCGCTCTTATGGTTAGGTGAAGAGTACTGAACTAGGTAGCAAAATCTGGTGGGTAGTTTCAGCTAGGCAATAGATAGAAATTTCGGAAACGAGGTGAATCGCTGTTTGCGTCAAGAGTTTCTGGACATCTGATCAGAAGAAAATGAGTCCTTCTTGAGGTATATGCTATGGACGAAGAAGAGCTCGAATAATGGAAGGCAATACAAATGACTATGATACGGAAAGTGGGCGATCATCACAAGCAACGAAGTGCTTCTGGTTTGAAACTTTAGGAGCGGTGTCTGGATGGAACAGCAATTAAATAAGCCAATCACAATATGGGGCCGGACGGAAGTTCCCGTCGTCGTTAAAGTGATTCGATGTGGTTGAATGTTGCGACTACATGTGTTTCGCGTCGAGCTCATCACTGTTTTACGATCGACGAGCAACCACTGAGATTGCAACAATCCCTTGGTGGACGATACGCTGACCTTAGCCATTCCAGCCATTACAAGCCCCGCCGTGTACACGCGCAAAGCTGAGTGGCTTTGTAAATTTCGTGGCAACCTATATAATTCGATAGTAAGTGACAGAAAAGCTTTCCCATTGCGTCCACTCCAAATTGAAACTCTCAAGGGCTTCGGGGACGTGCTTTCAAGTGTGTAAATCGCTCAAATCTTTATAAAGAAAAGCAAGATTTTTAAAAAAAAATTCTAAGATTTTTTGATTTTGCCATCTCACTCAGTTCTAGGGAAAGTATTTATCATTACCTACAAGTGTGATTTTAGTAAAACGATATGGAAACCAGCTCTTTTGTCAAACAATCGCTATTGGACCTTGAACAAAATATTAGTGCGCTTACAAGTACGGTAGTGGAAGCAGTTTTCGTGCAATATTGACTGTTCCCGCAGGAGAGGGACCCCGAACGCTGAGAGGCTCGGTGAATGCTTCCTAGGGAGCAGCTTCAATTCCCCAGAAGCGATCCTCTTTAACCAGTTGACCAACATCTAAGCCCAAGTGCCTTCCTGTACAGCATCGTAACCGGACGTTTGCGAGCATGTTTTGAAAAGTATTTTGGCCTTCACTTTATCGAGATTAAGACGTTGGACAGGAAGGCACTTGGGCTTCGATATTGGCTATTACTTTATCGAGATTTTTAGCGTCTTGAAATTATTGTCTGAATTTCAAGGCATCCAATTACCGTAATGTTGTCAGCTTTGTACTTTGTAGTGCATGTGTAGTTAGCCTACTGATTGTCGACGTTGGTCTTTTTTTGTGGTTCTCGAGGAGCACGTGATTACTTAGAGTGCGCGTGACTTGAAAAATAGTGCGAAAAGCTGGGTTACAGTTTTTTCTTCTCAAAAACAGGAAAGATAGATGGTTTGGGGGTAAACTAGAAGATGTGCTTCAAAAAGTGTGGATTTGGAAATACCCAGATTTCGTATCGTGAAATGGGAAAGAACGTTTTCCCCACTTCAAGGAAACCCGAGCGCTCATTGAGCCAAAACTTCGTGCTTCCTGAAGAAAAGAGGTTAATAATTAGGTGTATCAGCAGTCTAGTAATTGGTAACAGCTTGCATTTGGGTAGGATGGCTTTTCTGGGGAGGTCGTGACACTTAAATGGCAGTCGTTATGACTGGCGCGATTGTTGCCAAGTGCATCATAATACTAATGAAGTGTTTGATGCAAGGGTATCGTGTTAGCCTCATAATGACACCAGCGGACTACTATTGTCCGGAATTGTGGATTTTTGGGGAGGGAGGTTCCTAGTCGTCCTTATGAAAGTAAAGCTCCTTCATTCAATGAAAGAACCCAGAACGACCTGGGAAATTGAACGGGATTTGTGAAGGCACCGGGAAAGACGTCCATTGTGACGCGAAATGCTTCCGACTCTTCGGGAGAATTCGATTTCGATGTCAACAGAAGACCTCCTTTTTATGACCCTCCAACAGCAGGCTTTCGAATTAACCAGAGAATTAGACGGATGATCGCGAAAGTACACAATTGGGCTTGGGTTTGATGAAAGCTACTTCTATCTGATCCAAATTGTAATTCTGAGTAATGATAATTGTTTTTCGTCGATAGAACTCAGTAATGAATCTTCCCGATTGACATTAGACCCCATAGGCCCGAAAATTCCTGCCCTTCTGGTTAAAAACCCCAGCCATGAAGCCCAATAGTCTACGGTATTACTGCTTCTCATACTCGGCTAATTAAGAACATCATCGAGCTGGAGATCTGTCCCTCAGGGAATAGCCTTAAGTGTTATGCTAACAGAGGCAATCTGCTATTTCACCACGGCTGATGCTGATGGCTTCAGAGAATGGGATAATCGTGTCAAATAAACGGCATATTCCACTTTTTATACTTCAATTTAATGGATGTTCAGTTTTTATGAGATTAACGCTAAATAAACTCGAGCATTTTGATGAACTATAAGCATTCATTCCATTGAATTAGCGTTTTTTTTTACGAAGCTGACACATTCATCAAACGTGTAGCTCCATCTGCTCGACTACGGTAGCATCTCTGCTGGGGAAACAGTGGTTGAGGAGGGGTGTCATTGGAATGGACTAGAGATGAGAATATGTGTTTACGAACACGAGATCGGATTGCCTCGTGAAGAGCTTTTACGCGGAGCTGGTAAATGATTCGTGAGTGTGGGAACGTTTCGGCATTGTCGAACAACGTCGAGTCACCCACGGTCGAGAGTCGACAGAATTCACGTCGTCGTCGCCGTCAATCAGAAGTAAATGCAGTTGTTATGGGGGTATACGAGGTTGAGGGGGCTGACTTAGGAGAATTCGAGAGAGATTGGAGGTTGAGAAGGAACTCGTGACTTATCAATCCGCTGTAAAAAGAGATATCCTCTTATTGTAAATCTACAAAGCTATACATGGACCTTGTCCTCATGCCTAATCTATGATAAGGACCAAGATCCGTCCCCTTTGGAAATTGGCTATAATGTCGGACAAAGTCTTCTGAATTCGCTCCCAGGTCTTCAAATGTAGGGAAGAATCTTCTTTGTAGGCAGGGAAACTCATGACACAGTCCCGTTCTACAAAATCATAGTGCAGCCTTTGTAAATTAGTAAAATCATAAGTTGTGTACTATGTATTGTACTAGTACTAGTACTAGTCAGTTAGAATATTTCCATTTTGGAGGGAAAAATTCTGAAAAACCACTGCCTCCAGGCCCTCAGGAGTTAGGAGCTCTCAGAATTATCCGTGAGACAATTCGGAAAATCTCAGCACAAATGATTACAAAAGAGCCTTGGTCAATTTCCCATTGCCATCTCAACCGATCTGAGCCACTTGACACCATAGCCACTCCATTACCCATACATGCATGAAGAGTACTGTGTGTGTGTGTGTGCCGGCAGATTCCCATCGTACCCACATGGGCGACGACGATGATTCGCAGCGACAGTTGCGTGCGTAGCCGTTTGTGTTTGCGCTTTGACGCGGTTGCTACGAATCGGCAAATCGTTGTCTGACGACCGCATTTCACAACCCCTGCTGTGATCACAGCGCATCTGGGACAATCTCCTTGAGGTGTGTTGAACGAGTTTCTTTCGTGGAAACTCGCATTTCATGAAAGTACAAAAGTCACTTATTCGCTCAGGGAGGCGATTAACTGCTCAGTAACAGGAGTGCAAAGTCAAACGGTCTGGCGAGGATGGGACTCCACCGTCAAACTTTTGGCTTGTTCCATGAAATCGGCTTCATTTTGACTCTGAATGTCGGGTCAGCTGAGTTCTTGAACCGAACGAGTGTTCCGCCGGCAGGGAGTTGATGAGAATGAGTGTGCCGGCCGTTTAGGGGATGCAGCAGTCAGTCCTTCCTCATTGACCCGAATCAATTACTGGAGAAACGATTAAGGACGTCATCAACGATTCCGAGGTGTTTGTGTCACCCCTACGTGTTGTGATTGATGGTGGGCACTGTTTTAACGCCATGTGGTAAGCGGTTTTTGTGGCAATGGCTGGCTGCGTCTCCCCGAGGCCAGCGTTCACTAAATAAACGTCTGCACCATCAACGCGTACTCAACACCGGCTGCTATCGATGCTGGGTCTAATATAACACATTATAAACACGTGCAGGCTTATAATAACTGCCTCATTGGTTTCGAGTGTTGGGCACTTAAGAGTGTAAGAGAAGGAGATGACGACTACGACGACGATGGAGCTCGCGAGCGCTCCACAGAGGCTAGCTAAGTAGTCTAAAATTGAGCGGTAGGAAGTTCAGGGACCAGCTGTCACTGGATCTATGGGTGCTTCTTGATTTTTTACAATTAATTTTCGAAAAAAGGGGGTCAGCAGGGCTTAGAATCGTCCACAGCTTCCCCACATGTCCACGGGCTACTTTGAGCTAAGTTGCACAATAAAGTCTGCCGCTTTGAAAACTGGATGGTATCTTCAGTATTGGCTATTATCTGCAGAGGGCAGAGAGCAGCTGCAGCCAATGGGCTTTTTTTTTCAAAAGAAACTCAATTTCATTCTTATTCTGAGTTTCAGTAAATATGATGTGTAAGGAAACGTCGCAGTTAATCTGACTATGGCTGAAGCTCGAATATGGTCACTGCCTCAGGTTTTAAGACTTTTTTTTCCTACTGGTGGATCATCTGGGAAGCCTGATTTGTGGGCATGGGAGCTAACACTCACAGAATGCTCCTCTCCGGTGATCGTCTACCTGCTACCAATTATTGGCCGTATTTCTGAATTCTCTGGAAGAACGGTTGAAGCTTTCTACTGTGAGAAATGAGCTCCTGCTCCTCAACACGGAATCGAGAATATGGTGGTCGAAGGACTTTGCTTATCTATGTCCTGCATTCGAAATTACAGGCGCAGGGATCCCTGGTTGACAGAAAATATAGAAAAAAGCTGCTGCTTCTGATTTTTGAGCCATCGTGTCATGGAATTTTATACGGAATTTCTCGTCATCCCTGGACATATGCATCTCTTTGAGTTATGGTTAATGCTTGGCGACTGAATGGGAACAATATCTTCCCGAACTGCCTTCGAATTTAGTTTTCATAAAAGTCTCATGGAGTCCTATACAAAATGCGTGTGCGAAGATTGCATCGCCCTTTTTCCCACTGTAATCGGCCTGAGAACTTGCCTCCTCGACTAAGTGAGGTAGGTCGCCTTCTTTCAATACCATCTTCTATACTTACGACCGGATTTTTTTTCTCGTCTACGCTGTCCATCCGTTTCAATCTTCACTACCGTACCATCACGATGAGCGAGTAAGAGAATCGCCGCCGCCGCCACCGCCGTAGCGGCGACCACCATGTATGTCGGTTTAGAAATGGGCACTAAAGACGATGAGCGTCATAATGTTCGGCTGTTTTTATTGCGCTGACCGCATGCCTACCGTAAAAAACGAACAATTCAGTTGCGGCTCTTGTTTGAGTGCGATTTGAAAACGGTACGCCATTTAATGTCGTATAATTGTTACTCACAAAAATCGCAGTTGGTGGTAATCGCGCAGACGGCTGTTCAGAAAGATTTTCGTCTTCGAACGAATTAATGGGCGCAATCCATGTAATTGGGTCTTCAAGATAGTCAGACTCTTGCGGGACTGAGATTTCATCTAGACCAACTTCGATTAGATCATTACCATTTGGGTTGGATGTCCGCGAAGTTCATGCCTGTGGTTTTCGGGTTCAATGGCCACTGTTCGAGCTAATTACGGCCATCTTCCGCATGACTCAGATCAAGATCGTGATAATAGTCCTCCTGTGGTGTCGGCGTGACTTTTTGCTGTCGTTGCAAATCGCCGGAATCGCGTTGATTCGTCGACGGCAACGTTGGCTGTAAGATGCCGACCATGCATCTCATCATAAGCTGTTGTGACGTTAATTCGTNGTCGTCGTCGTCGTCGTCACCTTGTCGGATTACGGTTGCTGTGTGCGAGCGGCAGCGACCGGAGATTGGAACAGATGATGTGATGGCAGTAACTGTAAGAATACTCGTCATAGAGCATATCATTGGGGGTGCGCAGATGATGAGCAGGAGGTGGTTATCGGCGCGGTTAGCACACACACACAGAGGGCCGTAGCGATCTAAGCCGAATATCTTTTCCGGTCGATTGCTGCGCTTTACGAGAATATCTGATTGCACGGTCAGGCTCAAATTGATAGTCTAGGGGACCGTTGTCAGGTTACGGGTCACCCTACTCTACCCGTTCAAGAAGTATCATGGAATGGCTTTGGTAAAGGACCATATCATGCGAGCTTGCGAACGTTCCCAAGTTTGACCGACATTTTCGAATTTCACCCCAAATGGGTATGCAGTACTGACACCTTTCAATTAGATTATCAACTTCCATAAATTGGTGGCTTTCACCCTTAGTTTCTGATAGTTTCCGGTATCTAAAAAAGTTGTGATCCTCTTTTTTCCAAGAGAGGGTCTTTGTGGNCTTTGGTAAAGGACCATATCATGCGAGCTTGCGAACGTTCCCAAGTTTGATCGACATTTTCGAATTTCACCCCAATGGGTATGCAGTACTGACACCTTTCAATTAGGTTATCAACTTCCATAAATTGGTGGCTTTCACCCTTAGTTTCTGATAGTTTCCGGTATCTAAAAAAGTTGTGATCCTCTTTTTTCCAAGAGAGGGTCTTTGTGGAACATGTTCGCTCCTATTCAATCCTTTCTTGTGAAGGCAGATTCGATCATACCCAAGTCAACTCAGAACGAGGGGCACCCGCTTCCTAAGATGCCTTCCTATTTGAAGTTGTGTCAAATCAGGACCTGACTAGTGCCTGTCAGTTAGTGCTCACGTAGTTGGTGTAGTCACGGATATTCGAGCATGTGCTTCCAACTCAAATATACGTCAACTGCCTTCCAGTTCTTTCTGATACGTAGTTCTCATCCTTGGAGTTTTCCTCCTTCCTGAGAACTTGCTTCCCGGAAACCTACTTTTCACTGGATTACTCCAGAGAATTTTCATTGTTGTCGCCTTCGTGTTATACGAAAGCTGTCAACGTCTTGCATGTCACTGAATCGTTTGACGTTTGCTGATCGAGGAACAGTTCCTCCGATATGTTTGTACGGTTTTGACTACGGTAGTTCGTCGTCGCGTTGATCGGCGTCGTCTTGTCAGTACCGACAGCGGATGGACCGGTTACACCACACACTAACTAGCGTCTATAGCTTGTTGACATTGCACGGTGAGCGGATATACCGTAACGTTGCGTTCAACATGACAATTTGCTTCCGCAAACCGATAGTACGTTAGATTTGAACGTTTTTTTCAGTCGCTCTTTGGAAAGCAATCAGGATCTGGCCTAGCTTTTTCAGCCGTAGGCTCAATGTCACCTGCCATGTAAAATATTTGCCATTCGGGATTTTCGCCCATAACAGGTGTATGTTCCTACGGGGATGGATGAACTCAATCTGAAGTGACCTGGTCCCGAATGTTGGCTCAGCTTTTGTACCAGTAACTGAATGAGTACGTGGTTTACAGCAGCCCTTGGCTTCCAAGTGGGAGTCCTCGACTTGGTGCACATTTTGAACTTAGCTTCTACACCCAGAACTTTCCTGACCTTAATATTCGAGGTCAGGCCGGTTATGGTAAAGCCAAATCGCATGGATGACTTCACAGTGTCCAAACAGTAACAAGACTGCAGGGATCTTGTTCTTGCACAATTCGCCACATATCTAAGTCACTGGAATCCGATTATTGAGGGCTACGATAGTCGCGAAGTGGATGAAGGCGATCGGTCGTCTTCAAGATGAATGCAGTCGCCGACGTAAGAGGATCCCACTAGGTGACAATAGGGCGATAAGCGTGCGATTATCGCTTTCGTCGTCATCGCATAAAATAGTCTTCGACGACGATTGGCGCTGCTGAAGACGAGACAGACAAGAGCTCTATTTGCGCGCAGCACATCGAGTGCGGCGGATTAGGGCCTCCTACGTACGATCCTACGATCGGCTAATGATAATGACTGGGGTCTGAAAAGGTTTTTGAGGGGTTTTGAAAGGGTTTTCGGAGTTTTTTTGCCGAATTACGACTGTTAGACACGATGAAAAAGTTGATAGAACATTTTTTGTCAGAAATGAAAAGAATATGAAAATGGAAGGAATTGCGCTATAGGAAAGCTTCTCATAGGGGAGAGAGTAAGCAATTTGTGGGGGATCCGGATGACCACGGTCAAACTATCCTAGATGGGTATGAAATTTCTTATAGGAGCCCGACTGCAGGGCCCAACCGCTTTATAAGTAAATAGGCTCAGGTTCCTAATAGGGGTTGGGTGATACTCGTAAGGAATCAGGAGTCAGACACCAGTCCTTTCCTGATATTGTAATATTGGAGTGTGTGGGACACTCAGGACAAGCTCAAAATCGTTTTGTTCAGGATAAGCCAGCGGCCAAATGCACAAGAAAGCCGAAGGATGTGAAGGAGACAACTGATACAGGAGTTAGTAGTCGTGGACCAAACAGTAAGCAGTTGGCGTGGTTGAGAGCATGTCGAAAAGGCGACCTGGTCGAATGTAAGAAACTTTTGGAAGAAAATGTTAGTGATTTTATAAATTTTTAAGTGCAGAAAACCGATCTTACATATTCATTTCAGCCGGACTTGTTGCACTATGTGCCTCCTCATCATCTGAACTACTCAGCTGTACATATAGCGACTTTAGGAAGACATTATGAACTATTGCGATTTCTCAAAAGTAAAAAAGCTAATTTCAATGCAACGACTAGGGTGAGTTGCGATTTGTTTTATGGGTGAGTTGCGATTTGTTTTATATGAATGAAGTATTTTGAGCTGCGTTCATTTCTGACGTCTCGTAGGTGTGATAAAAGTAGTGAACGGTTAAGGAAATCATTACATGGAAAAAGCATCAAGAGAAGCATAAGGAGGGAACGCCGACAGAATCGTCAAGTATGAACGCAGCTTGACAGATTTGTGCCTAATCATTTTCATTGATACTCCCGTTTTCTACTCATTCAAACAACTTCATTATTCGAACATTTGAAGGCCATATTTTGGTCCCCTCACCTATTTGGGTGAACGAATGAAGCTTATTCCAGATCGGATATACACCACTTCATTTGGCTGCACAAAATCAGGACCAAGAAACTGCGCGGTTGTTGATAAGGGAATTCGGTGAGCAGTCATAGTGTTATTTTGTTGATTTATTGGCTTATTTTCTTGAAAAATACAGTCAGTAGTTGAATATTGCTGGCTACTACCTTACCTACTATAGTACTGGTACTAAAACACTGACTCAGTTCCCAGCTGGATATCAAATTCTTCTTCAGGATTTTATTAAAGAACTTTTTACCAAAGAGAACTTTTCCTTGAAAGAAACCACCCCGTAGGATTAGGGTAGTAAGGTAACAAGAGATTTTGTAAGGTGCGTATTGGTAGCGCTTATGTTTTGCCTTGGGATTAAGTGAACATCTGAATATAGTGGATTTTTTCGAGGAAATATCGAATATTGAGAATGGCTCATAAACGTTCCTTATAAGGTCATCGGCATTTCCAGAATATACCCAATGCCGTCCCCTACTACCCAAATTTTGACTTCATAAACTTCTTTCTGTGGTGAGAAGCACGAGAAAGAATAGTTGAAAGGGCGAGAGATAGACTGAGTATTAGTCTTTGTCAAGAAGATGATACAAAAAAAGAACTGAAGAATGTGATGGCGAAGGCTGCTATCATTGTTGTGCAATGTTTTTTTGTTTATTTTTTCCGAATTGCCGGCTATGTGTGATAAGTTGAGTATCGTTTTTTTGTTGTGCCCTTCGCAGTTCATTTTTTTACAATGTGAAGAAATGATTGAGAACCGTGGGAGTAGATTCACGACTGTTCATTGAGTGCTATATTAACAAATAGCAAGGAAAAATGGAACAGACGTTTGTCGGAAGAGTAATGATGGAAGCAAACCTGAGAAGAAAGATGAAGGGGGTTCGAAAGTTAGGGAATGGACAATGTTGAGGTGGTTTTTGAGAAACACTGATTCAGAAGTTGACCAAGCAGATCAAACAGGGGTTTGAGTTTGAATCTGAAGCATAATTTTGGTCCGGGGCTTCTGTGGGTAGGTCTGGGATCACTACTTATCCATGGAAGTACTGGTACAGTTCAAATGTGTAATATGCCCGAAGTAAGACCTTCCTACAGTGGTCTTTGAACTGAACCGCCCTAGAGGCTGCACCTGTCTGTTTGCAGGTGCGCCAGTGCTGAGCCCTGTCATTGAGCCCAAAACGACGACGACAAAGCGCTACGCACTGATGGTGACCGCCTTTTCTNTGGGAGTAGATTCACGACTGTTCATTGAGTGCTATATTAACAAATAGCAAGGAAAAATGGAACAGACGTTTGTCGGAAGAGTAATGATGAAAGCGAACCTGGGAAGAAAGATGGAGGGGGTTCGAAAGTCAGGGAATGGACAATGTTGAAGTGGTTTTTGAAAAAGACTGATTCCGAGGTCGACCAAGTAGTTTAACTGGGGTTTAAGTGCTCATCTGAAGCATCATTGGCCGATGTTCCTGTAGAGTTGTTCTGGCACGTCACTCTTCCATGAAAGTCCTGTTCAAATGTGCAATGTGTCCGAAGTAAGACCACCTTACAGTGGTCTTTGAACTGAACCGCTCTGGAGGCTGCACCTGTCTGTTTGCAGGTGCAACCCACTGCTGAGCCCTGTCATTGAGCCCAAAACGACGACGACAAAGCGCTACGCACTGATGGTGACCGCCTTTTCTCAATGGTGCTCAAGTGTTGTCCGAGATCATTTGAATGCGTTAATCTGCTCTGCTCTCATCATCATCATCACCACCGTATGTTTGCACTGCATTGACGGAGTGGCGCTCCGGTTCGCTCTCTGAGCAAGCCGCCGCCGCCACCGCCACCACCATCGTCGCCGCTTCGTCGATGGATGTGCCCCGTCGTCGTATTGACAGTAACGGGTGCGCGCGTTAGCAAACAGATTAACACCGGTCAATCGCTTAGGCTACCGTACACGCCACCGTGTCAACGACCGTTGCAGTTCAACTTAAGGACTTATAGTATCCCGTCGATCATTGCCAGAATGTTGAACAAACAACGGATCGGCAAGCTTAATACCCACTCGGAACTCATTGGGATTGATCAAACCGACGCTAATGTACACATGGGTAGACATTGAGGGAGCAGCCCACAGGAAACAGATTCCCAGATAACATTGTTATCCTGTCGTGAGATTGACTTAACCTGGGTTCATACTCCCCTGCAACGAATCTCCTCAAGGAGCCGTTTGCCATACTCAGGCAGGGGTTCATATGCCACTGTGTTTCTCCCAGTTGCTTATGAACCCACGTCAATTCGGCAGAGGATTCCCTGGTGGAGTTTGTCCCTGTACAGCACGAATTCATACCTACCTATAAGGAAGTTCCTGGTGAGGAAGTTATCATGGTCATGTGGAAAGTGACAAATTAAAGGAGAATTGGATCTGCCTCTTCAAGCCCTAAACTGCTTCCGACGAGTTTTTTTTTTCAGGTGTGGACTCACGAATTCATGATCTTCTCGGGTACACTTATGAGCATTATGCGGACTGGCTAGACTATCCTGAGTACGATGAGACTACGTCCCGGTTCAGTTATCGCGGTATGTTTATGATTTTGATTTTCTCTTTGAGCCCTCTTCTCTCTCTTCCTGTCTGAGCTGATATCTCTCAAAACTGTCTTACTTTAACTTGTGTTCAGTCTTTTTTTTTTTTGCTAGACTCGATTTTATGGTTCATAGCGTTAGTCCGGGGACAAAATCACGAACCCTTTGCTCATTGACGGGCAGCTAGAGCGAGCTGAATGTGCGTCATTAGAAGTATAAACTGCACTGATGGTAAACAAGTACGTAGCAGGTTTTTGATGGCTCAGTCGCTCACAAAGCAGCTAGTTCTTCAAGCTTTCAGCTGCGAAGTGCATATGTTGACAAGACTGGGAACTAACTGCTTTTAAGGTTTGTGTTCTGGTAGGCTCGGGATCGGCTCTACTCACTACAAAAAAACTTACCAGTACACCTTTTCCGGTTTTCGGTATAAGGTCTCAGTCTCGATCTGACCACCCTTGTGGGAGCTACCCAAAACAGCTCATTCGTTCTTGAAAAATTGTAATATTGGCATTTGGCTTACAATCGAAGGATATTCTCCAATGGTTGGGTGGTACACGGCATTCACCGTAGTGTCTGCTGCTTGAGGGGATGTCCCTTCTCCCGAAGGAAAGGGTTTTTGTTAAGTTGCATTCTTCTGTCTTCGAGTCCAAATTACCATTACGTCATGGGTATTGGTAAAATTGAGCTTTAAAAAGGTGTATTCTTTTACCTAAAAGTGCAATCGATTGTTGAATCGCTGCCGCAGCGATTTATTTGATCAATCCTTGTGATTGGCTTCGAATCGATGTGAAATACACACAGACACAGTCAAATAAAACGGCAAAATTCACGCTGAACGAAAAAACGATGAGGATCGTACGAAAGTGCAACGAGGAAGTGGTAGCAAGAAGTCTTGCCAGAAAACAGGGATGTTAGCTGTTGTTTCTGGGAGCCACGGTTACTTAACCTTTTTGACTTTAATTTTGTAGTGTAGTAATTTGACCTTTCTGCTTTAGAGTGTAAAAGTGATAGTAAGAGTCGTAGTTTTGGAGCTTCCTTGCTAGCACCGTATAAGGGTACATTGATAGGAGATCTTGGTCCCGGCGGAGGTCGCAAATCTTCCATAAATGTCGGAATTCTATATCATTGGGATTTGGTTTCAGCACGTGGTTGGTTGACATACGAACTTCTAGCTTCGTTTTTGGATTAAGAACTAATAGTATTTAGGCTAGACTAGGGTTTTGCTCGAAGCACAGATGTGTTCATTGGTTTGGTTGTTCGACTGCTTGGTTCCCCACGCATCACTTTGTGATCAGCTTCGCTGTAGTCCACCTCATCATGCTCTGCCTACATCCCATTACGATTACGTATCAAAAGGGCTTCGCATGTTTGGTTCGAAAAATAAAGAGCTTCACTAAAATTTAATAATAAGAGTAGAGTTGCAAAGAGGAAAAATATTTCTCCAAGGGAAGGGCATGGCAACACAGTTTTCTATTTGATTTGGAAAAAGAGTAAGTACGAGGTTGATGAGGAACTCTTCTTACCTGCTGTCCCTATTGTAAATGTTTCGAGGAAAATCAATTACTCTAGAACTAAGGAGAAGCTGTTTCGAAAAGGAGTAACAGAAAAGGAATCTATTCTGAGTTGTATGGGCTTGAATGGGGCTGGGCAATGCTCGAGTCAAAGCTTTGAGTACCTTGGCATTCTTATTGAAAAGATGGGTTGTCACTGTAGGAATGTATCAATTTCCATGTCGATCGGGAGCAAGACAGCACCATGAAAGTTGAAAAGAACTCGTGCAAGCTGGTACGGGAACCTGAGATGGCATACTTCTTAAGGGTAAAACAGCCGGCATTTCTCGGTTCCGCTTCTTAAACCACATGTGTGGGCGTTCCGGAGGTTTCACAGAGCCTCCAAACCCTACGATGGCCGGAGGACTGGTCATTGTGTGATTCTGTTGAAATTTCGTTTTCGAAATCGACTAACTGCTTCTGAGGTGAATCCCCAGCTCTATATCAAGTCTGGCAAATCATGTTGTGCATACCTTTCGTGGAATGCTTGGCTGGGAATATATGGCAGCTGTGAGGGTCAATTTCTTAGGTGAGAGAATTTATAGCTCTCTTTTATTGATCGATGGGGGCTAAAGTGAACGTGAATGGTCGTGGTACCTGTGTGTGTGTGAGTGTGATGAACAGTGATTGATGAGATGTGAACATGTGCTTGGGTAGGTGTTGTGAGCGTTGTGCGTTGATGGATTAGGTGTAGGCACAGAGGAGAAGTTCTTCATTTTTTTTACCTTTCTATCTCACCAGTTAGCGGATGGCATTTAGTACGCGCTGTTACACGTTGTACGTAAATGACCACGAACATAACAACACAGTTCTGAAAGGGGATCGTTCCAGGGACTTCGAAAAAACCGTTGGAATCCAAGAAAACCGCACGCTATCGAGGAGGAAGATGAAATGGGCGCCCTCCGATTAAGGGCCACTTATGTAAAATTTAAAATCTAGTCGCTACTCAAGAAGAATTTTAATACTAATAAAGTACTAACCACATCTTTGACTGTGTGGGAAGATGGTTGGCGCTGGTGGTTTCCCATCAGCCTTTTGTGAAGTCTTTTTCAGTTNTTACTATTTCATTGCCTTACCAAAATGATTCGATTACTCATTGGAGGATTTCGATTATTGTTGGAAGCTTTTCTGATGCTATTTCTTAGAATAACATCACAAGTAGCGCGGAAATTGGGTAACTTACTGTCCGGGTAACTTCTTTTGATAGTAAGAATTCAAAAGGGCAGAGCCCTGTGATACTACCAGGTGTAAAAAATGGTTTTGTAGCTCGAGGATAACGCAAGAGGGGTTTCTGTAGTACTGTGCCCTATGTTACTACCAACTGTGCAGTAGTGTCATAGGGCAGTGTACTACAAGTGTCCTTTATACATTGTCTTTGAGCGGTTCAATCGTTTTGTTACGGTATCCGTTGGTTGTTTGTTGGAGTGTCCTTTTTGCGTACCAATCAGAGTTGCATGGAAAATTTGAAAAAAAAAATCTAATTTGAAAGAAATTTGGGGAGAAAAGCTCTTAGTAACTTACAATGTTTTTCTGTTAGGTTATCTCAATGGCACTTAACGGTGAGCTACCGATGGGGCTGTGCGGCCTAAGCAGTAAGTTTCAACTGAAGTAACTCCATGTTGTCTCCCTGTCATAGCAGTATGTAGCCTGAAACCCTGCTCCCTAAGACCGGCCCTTCCATTCGCCCTTTTTTCAAACTTTATTAGCAATTTTAAATATTATAAGGATCGATCTCATCTCATTCTCATCGGAATGAACATTGCCATGCTTTCATACGAAGCGACTGGCTTGTAATCTTCTTACAGCACCAACAAAACGATGAAATTTTCGCGAGATAGTTATGATCCTATGGGATTATTACAAGAACCTAAGGAGTGCTCCTATACCCTCATGTTTTGGGCCATTTTTGATCGCATCAGTTAATAGATGAAGTCCTCATAGACTTTTCAACCTGAGGATGGTATTTTAAGGGTATCCATGCAGTTAGCGGCACTTCCTATGCGGTGGCACCTCCACGAGAGCTACCGATGCAGCAATTGTCGATGTACTTGCCGGATTCTCTACAGAATCCGATACCTCTAAAAAAGTCGATTGATGAAATAGCTGTGTGGATGGCGTGCTAAACGTCGTGTTTACATTTCGTTCGTGTCTGGCACGGTATTATCGTTTTTTTTCTGGTAACTTCACGGTGTGAAGTTTATTTTGTAATGGCTCCCATCAAACATATGTACAAATTACGGCCGTTTGCTAATTGCAGCCGAATGACTACGGTAGCTGCAATTGGCCGTCGTTTTTCATTCGAATAACATATGTCGGGAAGCTGTTCACTGTCGGAATCTTTGCTTGCTGCTGTAAGTTCAACGTCGGCTGTTAGGCTGCTGGCAATGTGCACTTGAAGTTCATTATCTGAGGAGTTTGGGAAGAGGTGGGGGGAGGGGGGTTGACGAGTGGTGTTTCCGAGTACTTTCGAGTCATTTGAATGAAAAAATCCAAATTCTAAGAAGACTGTACGTCTCACTGGTTTGGGGCTAAAGATGAGCTGCTTTCTTGGGAGCTGAGCTGAAGGAAGAATGAGTCAAAAGGGAAGGCCCGTCATCGATTGTGTGCCCTGGCTCCGCCAGAATTTTTTGCTCAGTTTTTCCACTGCGCTATAGGTTGTTCCATCCTCTTTGGGTTGAATTGTCTACGGGAATATTTTGTGCCACCATCGGAGCCGACGCCGGCAAAGAGAACTTTTTCCAGTGGCGGCTGAAGTGAGCATGGGGTTGTTGTCACAATGAGAACGCATGTCCTATGGGGATGTGACGAAAAGTTTGTACAGCTGCTGCTATCTCGCGTAAATGCGACTTTGTGAGCCCAGCCGTCAGCGAATTAGCATTCTACGTGCATATAGCATGGATGTTGATGTTAACAAAAGCCAACCAAATCCGGGGATCCGTGTACATTCGGATGTGGGAAGCGACGGCAGAAAATACTAGTGAAACTGCAATACAGTGGCTCGGGGCAGTAGGATGGCAGCAACTAATGCCTCGCCCATGGCCCATGCCTTCTGCTCCCATGGCTTGACCGCTCCTTTAGTCGACCAAGAGTAATGCAGTGGTGAGATGTGCCTGGATGTGTACTTGGACTGTAGTGGAGACTGGTTACTAGCTTTCGCGCAATCGTTGTACATTTGCTTTCAGGTGCAAGTTCCCGAAGTTCGTCACGACAACCATCGTTGGGATCTCAAGAGTCCCTGGCGTCGTCAAAGACTTCATTCAGTCGCCATGGCTCTCTACGTGATACAATTCGCGGGATACTTCACGTTCCCATCGCTATAGGCCTCAAATCTCGCAGTCCATCGTTGAATCAACTGGCTGTATAGCTACACCTACTTAATGGAAGCATTTTCTGGATTTTTGTTTTTTTTTTCTTCGATTTTTTCACTACTTATAATTATAAAACGTACGATCTCATCGTTCAGAAGACTTGGATGTATATTACAGTATCCTTCTGGGTAACAATATTTTGCGGCATTGGGTTAGTTAGCTAGTTTTTTTGTGTTGGGTACAGGTGGTGTGTGTGTCGCAGGGTTCAGTGACCCGTGAAATCGCGAAAGAAGCCGCTTTATCGTCGGCAACATGCGTATACTGGAGGTAACATAGGATTAGATGGGTTGCCGGATATTCAATTCTAAGGGACCGATTTGGGTGCTTTTGGCACGAGCGGGAGGAGAGTGGGGG